TGATTACCCCAAAGAAAATAATTCTAAATGCGCAATAACCTTTCACATCAACTCAAAATGACATTCTGTGATATTACTATTTTGTACCATCTTAGTAGTATATGTGCATATATATGTATCTGTGTGTATGCATGAGCATACATGCATGCAGGGACTTGTGGAGACCCTTCTGAGGGGGGTGATGGATCACATGGTTCTGGAGTCACAGCTGATTGTGAGTCACCACCCAATGTTATTACTAGGAGCCAAATTCAGGTCCTGTGCAAGAACACGACATGCTGCTAACCGCTGTCCCATGTGTCAAACCCCAAATCCACGGTGTTTATCCTTTACTGTCCAATTCTGCCTACTCAAAGCTGCAGTTTCTATGGTGTTTTATTAAAATGTATTATCCATTCAAATACTTGAAATTCCTATGGTGATACATAGTTCTTAAAAACGATTTCTTTCTATCAGTCTGTCTAGCTATTGGCCTGTGTTTCTGGCTATCTGTCTCTCTGTCTATCCATCTGTCTAGCTTTCCTCTGTACAAACTTCTTCTGTGACCCCCAATCCCTCTGAGTTTCTTGGCTTGTTCTTTGGTTACTGCTATTATATAAATGCATTTATTTTGAATATAGGTAGATAGTTATAGATGTATAATGTACTGATTTCACTGAGTGGTGCTCTGTGTTTAGGGCTGCCACTTGGAACTGGATAACCTCTCAGGAAGCTAGTCCCTGGGGAAAACTGATTCGCCCTCCCTTGGCATCTGTTGATTCTTCATCTTGAGATAGGACCCCATGGAATTTCCCCCATGCACCTTGACATGTCTGATGGTTTTATCAGGATGCAGTTCTGCTTAGACTACCATCCTGTGGAGAATTAATGATTGTAGCTTCCCAATCACGTCTAGACTATATTAACTAGCAGCAGGATTCTTCTTATCTAGCTGTTACAGTCTAAAAACATTTTGTGAGTTTTATGTGTATGAGTGGATTGCATGTGTGTAAGTGCACCGTTTTGTGAAATGCTTGCAGATGTTAGAAGATATCCGATCTCCTGGAACTGGAGTTATGGAAGTTGTTAACCACCATGTTTGTGCTGGGAATGGATTCCAGGTGCACATGCAAGTGACGCATGTCTCCAGCACCCAGGTGTTACATTCTTTATCCCGTTTTCCCCACTGTTCCCAGAGTTTAAGGTGTAGAGGATGCGTTACAGTAATTTATTCATTTTTATGTGTACGAGTGTTTTGCCTGTACCGATGTATGTGCACCATGCTGTGCAATGCCCACAGATAGGGTACGGTGCATGTTGTACTCCCTGGATCTGGAGTTAGGGATGGTTGTTAGCTACCACATGTGTGTTGGAAACTAGACCTCGGTCCTCTGCAAGAGCATCCAGAGCTCATAACTGCTGAGCCATCTGTCCAGCCCTTCTGGTTGGCTCTTAAACCATCTAAAGATGTACATACAGAAAGAGGGGTCACTTGATCCATCCGCTCCAAAAAAATCCTCTAGCTTTGACTTAGCTTCATGTCTTTTAATACCCATGCCATCAGTAGGTGCTCGCTTTTATTTTGACTCGGTGAACTTATGAATAGGCTCAAAATCCTGACTGAATTGCAGTTGAAAGCTCTGGGAACTTGGAGTGTATTGAATGCTATATTACAGAGACCGCATGGTGCCTTACATAGACTAGTTCATTTAGTTCTGAGCAGCTGTAATCAAGAAGACATTGAGAAGCCAAATGAATTTAAACTGCCTCCTCGGAAGCCCGATGAAGCCTGCGAACTGACCCGAGATTACAGGCTGTTTCCCTGTACTCTTGGGTCTTTGAATGAGTATGTTTAAATCTCCAGTAACCTGGGTTTACTGACTATTTCTCATGCTGCTTAACTTGCTGTGTGAGGTCCCTTTCCCAAACTGGTGGGTCATATCATGTTACCATAGCTCCAGAACAATGAACTCACTTCTTTCAATTTGCATGAAGCACGTTCTGGAACACAGACTTGCTTCCGTTAAAATAAACGGTTTAGAACGGCAGGCTAGGGAGTTGGTAAAGTGTTGGTTATGCAGTCATAAGAGCTTGACTCTCAGAACACATGTCAAAAGCTAGCTGTGTTGCTGTGTTCTTACAATGCCAGGGTTCAGGGTGTGGAGACAGGCAGGTCCCTGGGGTTTGCTGGCCAACCGGCCTAGATGTGTTAGCTAGTTCCAGATCAGTGAGAGATACTGTCTATCAAACAAGATGACTGACGCATAAGGAATGCTGCCCAAGGGTAAGCTCTGGACTTCACGTGCAACTGCACACACTTATGTGTAGATTACCCACAGTTAGACACAAAAATAGTGGGCTAGACATGGTGGTGAATGCCTGTATACCCAGAAGTTGGGCGGTACACCGTGGATGCAGGACCATGTAAGTTGAAGCCACCCTGGGCTACGGAGTGAATCCATGTCTCACAACAACTAGGAATGCTGCCCAAGGGTAAGCTCTGGACTTCACGTGCAATTGCACACTTATGTGTAGATTACCCACAGTTAGACGCAAAAATAGTGGGCTAGACATGGTGGTGAATGGCTGTATACCCAGAAGTTGGGCGGTAGACCGTGGATGCGGGACCATTGTAAGTTGAAGCCACCCTGGGCTACGGAGTGAATCCATGTCTCACAACAACAAAATCAGAGCTACCTTTTTTCCAAAGCAAGGTGCCAGAAATAAGAGCAAAGAGGACTTTAAAAGCAGGTCTTTCAGGAAAACTGAATCCTCCACACATGTCATCACCTCCTTCCTGTTCCTGTCTGTGGTCTTAATTATGCCGCAATTGGATCACCATGTGGCAGACATCCAAGTGTTGTCTGAGGGAGAATTCAAAGATAGAAACAGACACATAAATCAGATATTTCGTGCTGTGCTATTTTTCGCTTTCAAAGATACAACCCAAACTTGTTTTTGTTTGTTCTTTTGTTTGACAGAGTCTCCCTAGTCGAAGCCCAACTGGAACTCAGTACGTGGACCTGGCTGGCCTCCATCTCATAGAGATCCAACTGCCCCTGCCTCGTGCGGGCTGGCATTAAAAGCGTGCGCTACCGAGCCTGGCACAACCCACGCTTGTAATCTTTATTCAGCTCTTGTTGTCTAGATACGTACTATAGCCCTCCAGCCAATGTTATTACCATACCATGTTAGAGAGAAATTCCACTCTAGATATTTGTTGTCAACAGATACCTGTTTGACACGCATATGCCTCTCCTAACCCAGGATTGCTCCGAGTAATCTATAAAGTTCTTAGCAATGTTACTTAGGTATTTTGTAGTTAACTAACATTATACTTTAGAGATGTAGTCCTTGAAATACCTCCATTCCAAAGAGATCTTTTCCCATACCGTGTATCCATGTACATCATTCTGAAAGTTGGCTTTCCCTAAGCTCAAAGGGATGGTGATTAGAACCATCGTGAGCTCTTGATGTAGACTGTAGTGAGAAAAGCAGACCCCATTTGGCATGAGATGACTTACTTTTAAGATCTTCATAATGGGGACTGGAGAGATGGCTCAGCGGTTAGCACTGGCTGTTCTTGCAGAAGACCTGGGTTCAAATCCCAGCACCCACATGGCAGCTAATGACTGTCCGTAACTCCAGTCCCAGGGGATCCGACAGCCTCTTCTGACCTCTGCGGGCATTGCATGGCATGGGTGCACTTACCTACATGCAGGCAATACATGCGTAGACATAAAATAAAAATAGTAAATAAAATTTAATAAAAAGATCTTCATAATGATCTTTGCACTTTTAATTGTGAAAGATGTGTTCATGTGACAAGTGTGACAGAGAGCATTTGGAGCACACTCTCTGTGCTGCATTTCTAAAGGACACTGAAATTCAGGACAATGGATCTGTGATGATTAGTACTGACTGTTATATATAGACTTTTATATAACTTGATTGGTTCCAGCATCTCCTATGAGACAGAGTTCTGTGCCTGTAGATGTGGGGGTTTCGAGATGCAGTTAATGAGGTGGAAAGCCGCACCGTTATTGTGGTCAGGGAGCTGAGCGCCAGCAGTCATCTCTCTCAGCTTCCTGACCGCAGATACTATGTGAGCAGCTGCCTCACATTCTGTCTGGGATGTCTTTTCTACCATGAGCTATGAACTGAAACCCTTCCTTGCTTAAGTTGAAAGGTATTTGATCAGTGAACTATTCTTCATAACTACACCTGCCATTAACGAAACCAATGAGAACTAATGTCTACATCTTATTCTCATCCTACTACATGCTGTAAAGTTTGTATTCACTCATGAATATTCATTCATATGTGATGAAGCTAGATGTCTATGTGATGGGAAAAAATTATGAATCTGTGCATATACCTGTAAGGTAAATGGACAGTTTCCTTAATGTGTAATAAACTGTTTTTTACTCTCTATCGAGAAAATAACCTTGTAGATAATAGTAAAATGGCTACATCTCTCCAAACCCATCTTTGCAATCAGTGTAACTCTCTGCTGATTGGTTTGATTAAGGCCCTGTGGTATGTGAGGCTCGAGGGATGGATGAGTGGCTAAGAACCTGACCCAGCAAGGTTCAGATCTCAGCACACAGTGTGCTGTTTCACAGCTGAGTTGGAACTCAAGCTTCAGTGGATCTGATGCCCTCTTCTGGCCTCCTCAGGTACCAGGCATATACCTGGTACACACATATACATGCAGGCAAACACACATGCACACACACGCACGTGCGCGCACATACACACACACACACACACAACACACACACACACACAGGGACTTGTGGAATGATTCTGACGCATTAGACCTATTTCCAAGAGACAAAGTGTAGAGAAATGGTCACAGCCAATACCCTTGCTTGTGTCTACGCAGTGACCACACATTTGATATGTTTACTACTGAGCAAGAATTTCCTAGAAGGGTGTGCTATATTGTACGAACAGCACAGCAAATGTAACAATAATGTCTGCATTGGGCTGATTTTCTTTGTTTTCTTTCCCGTTAGGCTGACTTGAACTTTGTGTAACGAGTCATTGCCCTAGAGAGGTGTTGGATTGCCGCAACATCCTCGGAGAGCACTGGATCTGCTGAAGCCCGGTGTCAGGATTGAAGGAGCCTCACCCTTCGGCATGGGTTCCGAGAAAATCTCCTTGTTTCTCAGTCACACTGAGCAGGCACAGAGCCGCTAGTTTATCTCGGCTGCTGGATTTGTGCTGTCTGCAATCCTCTCCCCCACCAGCTCTGTGTCCTTGACGTCCTTCCACTTACATACTTGTGCATGTGCGTGTGAACAATGTCGAGGCCCAAGAGACGGTTATGGCTGCCCTTGCTGTGCACACACGTCTGCGTCATGTTGAACTCCAACGTTCTCTTGTGGATAACTGTTCTCGCCATCAAATTCACACTCATCGACAGCCAGGCACAGTACCCTGTTGTGAACACGAATTATGGCAAAATCCGGGGTCTAAGAACACCGTTGCCCAATGAGATTTTGGGTCCAGTGGAGCAATACTTGGGGGTACCCTATGCCTCACCACCCACTGGAGAGAGGCGGTTTCAGCCTCCAGAGCCCCCTTCGTCATGGACTGGGGTTCGTAACGCCACGCAGTTTGCTCCTGTGTGTCCACAGCATCTGGACGAACGTTCCTTACTACATGACATGCTGCCCATCTGGTTTACAGCCAATTTGGATACTTTGATGACCTATGTTCAAGACCAAAATGAAGACTGCCTTTACCTAAACATCTACGTGCCCACAGAAGATGGTGAGTACTTTGTTAAAAGGAAGGTAAAGCCTGCCCGTCTAGGCTCAGGGATATTCGTCAAGTATATTAAAATGTTCTGTGCCTAGGATTTTCTTTATATTATTCCCTAATCTGGATGCAGTTGTTGAGAAAAACCTATCCTGTATACTTACTGCATTTCTGAAGTACTTACTGGATAAAAATAATTATAACAGATAAAAATAATCTGTTGCCTTTATTATAGAGCTACATTAATTACAGAATGTAAATGATGTGAACACATCATACTATATTCTATACTTGAATCACTGATAAAGGAATGACCCTAAAAATAATACAGTTAAGAACGTTAACCTGAACTTGAAACACAGAAATCATGGTCCTTTAAAGAGGTAGATATGGACACTTTCATATTTGTTTTGGGAAAAAGTGATTTTTTTAAATACCCAACTAACATCAGATGTTAAAAAAAATCAGTAGATGTCAATGTACACAATCCGCCCAATGATCATAAATTATGATTCTGTTAACACTCAGTTCCATCGATAGAATATTTACATATAAAAAGATAATTCTAGCTACGTTACCTGATTTCCTTGCTTTGCAAAAATATTCTGATTCTAGTTTCTAGAAAACAATAGTGATAAATCTGAATTTTTTAAAAAACGAATGTTAAAAAAAAAATCAGTAGATGTCAATGTACACAATCCACCCAATGATCATAAATTACGATTTCGTTAACACTCACTTCCATCAATAGAATATTTATATATAAAAAGATAATTCTAGCTATGTTACCTGATTTCCTTGCTTTGCAAAAATATTCCAATTCTAGTTTCTAGAAAACAATAGTGATAAATCTGAATTTTTTAAAAAACGAAACTTCATTGAAATCTGATAACATTTCAATATCTCATCTCTTTGAAGATTGCAAATTCATTTGGATTTTTTCACACCACCCAAGTATTTCAAACTCGTATAGTCTATGAAGCCAGAGAAAAGCTATGCTACAGTGAATGATATCACAGACCTCTATTCCTTCATTCGCATGCCAATTATGTCTTAGATTAGGAGAAGCAAATTCACAGAGTCCAAGCCTCACTGGAAATGAAAGAGATCGTTCATGGCAACCACAGACATAGCAACTTTACGAACAAAAGCGGTCCTTTTAAGTCTTTATAGTGAGGCAGACTTTCCTGCCTCTTTTCTATACTTTCATACCTGGGAAATAATTTTTCAGAAAGGTTTGCTGAAAAAACTTAAATCAATTATTCCACAAATACTATGATTCCTCAGATATTGCTGTCGCTGACTAATTAGGTAAAATTTATCTCCCCAGATAAGAGGCAACGTGATGATTTCAATAGAAGGGTAGGAAAAATCAGGCACGGGTTGAGTGTCATTGATACCATGGAGAACAGCGACAGAAAGAAATTACAGGACCCTGTCTCATTATATTAGCTGTTTTTGGCATATCACCGTGTTGTTATGACAACACAGCACACAGTTATCTTGTAAAGTGTAAGTCTGAACATGATTCCAGGAGTTAAGGTGACATTTTGGATGCGGTTCTCTCCTGTGCTGTCCTGGGCTGCCACTTTGCATGTCTGGGAAACAAAGTCGATCTCACAGTCAATTAGAATCCTTGTTGAAGCGGCCATGTGGGCAGCTGTCTTTCTTATAATGAGTTTTGAAAGAACACACAAATGAGGGAACATGGAAGGGAAGAGAGGAAAGAAAGAAAAAACCCCACATCTCCCCAACAAGGACAAAACGATAAAATGGGTGTGTGTGTTAATCACCATCTGCTGCTTAAAGAAACAGCTTCTGAGAAGTGAGAGGTGGTTCATCCTATGTGTAGAGGTTGCATCAAAGACGAGTCACTCAGCGTTCTGTGTCTCGGTACAATAACCTACACAAAGCTTATCCCTGGATAGGACGGCTGTATAAAACCTCCGCCTCCCAAGGCTCAGGAGTTATTAGGGAAGAGGCGGGAAAGAAAGATTTTAAGAGCCATAGGGGGTGGATGACAACCAGGAAATAGCGTCTTCAGGACAGCTGGTAGTTACACATATAAACTCACAGCAATGTGGACACCATAGAAAAGTCCTGTGGAAACCCAAACCAGACCAAACCTCAGCACAGGCAAGGATAAGTGGTAAGAATTCACTTCACAACCTAAGGAGTTTTTGGCAATTATTGGCTGCTGGGAGAGAGGAGGAAAGACAGTGTCATACACAGATGGGACTCTTGATTAGATAGATAGATAGATAGATGAGTGATAGATATAGATAGATGATAGATAGATAGATAGATGGATAGATGATAGATAGATGATGATAGATAGATGATAGATGATGGATGGATAGCTCCCTTTCATTGAATTATGGAAGTTTCCTTTTATTCATGTTTTGCTGAGTTTTAGCCATGAGTAAAAGTCAAATTCCTTGTTTCCATCTATTGAAACAATCAAGCATTTGTTTTGTTTCTACCAGTTTCTTGACAGGGTGAATTACACTGGCTGATGTGTGGACTGTAAAACAGTCCCACATTAGTCTCCACGTGATACATAGATGATAGATAGATAGATAGATGATAGATAGACAGATAGATGACAGATAGATGATAGATAGATAGATAGACAGACAGATAGATGATAGATAGATGATAGATAGATAGATGATAGATAGATAGATAGATAGATAGATAGATAGATGATGGATAGACAATAGGTAGATAGATGATAGATGATGGATAGATGATAGGTAGATAGATTATAGATAGGTAGATGATAGGTGAGAGATAGATGAGAGATGAGAGATAGATGATTGAAAGATGATAGATGATGGATAGACGATAGGTAGATAGATAGATGATAGATAGATGATATATGAGAGATAGATAGAACTTAAAGTGTTGGGGGGGTGCCTCAGGGAGGGGCTCTGAGTCTTAGCAAACTATATTGTATGAAAATTGCAAGTATTTCACGAAAAGAGAAAGAAATGGCTTTCACGATATTCTTGATGGCTTCAAACGTCTAGCTCGTTCTAATCTACAGACCTCACCTGAGAAACAATGAGTACGACCTCGGATAGAATGACTTCTTCCTCATGTAAGATGCAGGCGCCAATTAGACCACCCTGGAAGGGAAATCAATAGCCTCTCTGATTACACAGCCATATTGCTGAAATTATGTATATTCAGACCTCAAACTGTTTGGCTATTTTATTGTGATTCCTTATTGAACTGGAATTGGACAGTAGAAAAATGTGCACAATGTTGCCTAATGAGAAAGTAATCTCACTTTAATAATAAACGCAGTTCTACCTGTTTAGTGCTGTGGGCTTTTCAAAGCGATATCTGCCTGCGAGTCCCTCTGAGGAGATCAGATCTTATAATAAGGACTAGAAAAGTGGAATCAACCACCCCGTGACAGGTAAATAGGAGAGTTTTGACAGTTCAAAGATGCTTAGGTGCGTGTTTGTGAACATCAAATCACCCCCTAGGAGCATCAAGAATTTTTGTGGGGTATTTTGTAATTGTATGCACTTGGGAATCCATGGAGGAGCTTTAGCTGTTAGTTATTCATGAAATATGAGTGAATTGCACTTTTGTAAGGCGCAGTGAAATTATGAAATCAATATCATTTTCCCTCAATATCTTCTGAATATTGTGTCTTAATTTGGAATCACGTTTACTTAACAGAACGCACTGCAGAGCTAGAATTTATATTCAACTGCAACTCAAATCAATATTGGGAGTTAAAATTGCCACTCTGATAATCCATCATTTTTTTAAAATAGTTTGTTGAGAATTTCATATAAGCAAATCCATGCCCACTCCCTCCCCTCCAACTCCTCCCATATCTCCTCATCACTTTTTTCTGATAACGTCATGTACTCTTTCTTCTTTTGGCTACTCTAACATTCCCCCCTCTGAAGAGGTAACCCTAAGATCTTTTAAGGATTAGATACAAGCTCCCAAATACTTTCAACATACTTGGCCTTTGGAACAGAGTATGTTGCTAACAGGACCAAGGACATTTTGACTTTTAGCCAAGAAACTGGCAACTTTTCTTTGGGGTCTTTTTACCCTAACTGCCTAGCAATTCCTACCTCCTGTTCTTATCACACCATCCTCTAAAGAGGTTACCCAAATTGCCCATAGGGAATAAGGACACAGACCGCTCTAGCTTCTGCCATGCTGAACAGGAACGCAGGGTGAGGCAATTGGAGTACCCCTTCGGTGGGTCTATCTAAAAGACTCCCAAATTGATTAACTCTTGTCTCTAGGGGGAAAAGAAAGTCCTTGCCTGGTGAATAGGAGATGTGAAGGAGAAGTAAATTATCTTTATTGGGCTTGGCAGTCTCCTCCCCCACCCCACCCCACATATACACATAATTAAAAATAAAGCGTATCTTCAAAGAAAAAGACATAAAGGAACCAGGTCTTGTTAAAGGTGACTGCTATCAATTAACACTGATTTATTAAATGTACACTTGCTTTCCTCTGTTATTGCAGACTTAGACTATTGATAAATTATTTAAAATTTTCATAGATTATTCATTTCACTTTGATGTCACAATGCTAGACTAATTAATTAGCTTTGAATTGCATATTTAAACTGTTGAGAGATGCTTCATAAGGTCAAAATCAGGCATCCCAATTAGGGGATACTGTCAGACATGTAAGCATTCTTGTTAACAAGAGGGGATAGAGACAGGATTCTGAGTGTGTGTGCGTGTGTGCGTGTGTGTGTGTGTGTGTGTGTGTGTGTGAGTGTGGTGTGGGGAGAGAGAGAGAGAGAGAATGAGAGAGAGAAAGAGAGAGACTACTTTGAAAGAGCAATGCAAAATAAGGTTTTTCAATTTGATTAGACCAAAATTGTGAAATTTGAGTTTAGAAGTCTAAATTTGGCTAAAAAATATTCCATGTTGGTTTATGGATCAGAGGATAACACTGTACTTTATCATCCCCATAAATAGTCGAGACTTGAGTAAGGCAGTCTTGCGATGTGTCTG